TTTGAGCAAAAGTTTCTTGTGTATTTGAAGGTCTTTTGTAATGAAAGCAGTGAAAAACATACATGGCATATATAAAGCAGCTGTTCTTGAGTACTGCCAGATTTGCCAATTGTAGCTCCCATGCAAAATTTCAGTTTGAGCAGTAACTGCTGTCAGTTTGACTTAGTAGTGTTTGTGGCTAAAGCAAAAAAAATTAATCCTGAGTTAAGATACAAACTTGTTTGTTGTTCTTCATCTACTAAGAGTAATCTTATCTATAGTATAAGACAGAAATGGAAAGGGTGATAGTGTGCCATGTGTGGGGATGGACACTTGAAGTAATGTGTGCTTAATTGTTGTTGGAATTTGTACTTTGAACAGTGTTGTGAAAGAAGTGATAGCAATTTAAGTAAGATCTATGTCCTCTATAATGTAGAGGACATACAGATATTCTCCAAAAATTTCTGTGCATAGGCATGGAGAGGTATTAAGTATTTATTTTCACTGAATTCTCTATGGTGATATCTGAGCAGTATTCAGATTATGGGGCTTCCTATAATAAACATTTTCATGTTTCTCTTTGGTTCCCCCTCCTGCCCAATATATATTTATCTTTTAAAGGTGATTATTTTGGCTATTGCAAGTTGATGATTAGTAGAATACAGACTGTTAAAGTAATGAGAGGTATGCTGTCATATTTCTCTCATTATATATAATTTTGTTTTGTTTTTTATTCACTTGATGTTCACAGGAATCTGATCTCTTATGGGTATGTTGCATAGTCATCTAAGGAAGGATTTGTTTCACTAACCTAGCTTTCAGACAGTCAAAGTTACCTAGTCCTAGGCTGTGATTTCATGAACATCTGAGCTCATGATGTGATAACTCTGCTCCTGAAAGGAGAAAGCCTTGCTCCTCCTCCTGCCTGTTTACTTGGCTCTTTGTCCCTTTCTGCTAGCCAGTACCAGCCGCCTGCTTTCACTGGTGATGCGGCTTGTTGGATTCTTCCATGAGCTACATGGCGTGACTCACGTCACAGAAAAGCTGGAGTGTTTTCTGCTTGTTTACATGTGTTGGCATCTTGAGCTAGATCAGTTCATGGAAGAGTCTGATGAATGATGAATCTGGGAATGGGGATGAAGAAAGGAGGTGGGGAACCTCCCATTCCCGATGACAGTGAGCTCTTGTATTGGATTGCACTTTTTCATTGGTTCATTATCTAGGCTTACTGTAGACTCTTAAGCAAGGATGAGAAGGGGCAGTGTTTGAGAAGTCACTTTCATGAGGCTATGCTTCCTTTCAGTGTCTCACTTATTCTTTCACACAAAGAGTTTATTGTTTCACAAGACCTTGGGTGAGTCAATTAGGAAAAAAAAAACAAAACACAAAAAAACTAAACCAAAGAAAGAGATCTAGAGTTCTGACAGAAGGCAATGGATTTAACCATACATTGTGTGAAACAGCTGCTTAGTTTTCAACAGATTTTACTGACAATTTTAGTACTTGAACGAAGCATGGCACAAGGCTAAATACTGTTAATTTTTCCTCAATAGTTGCAAATTACATACATTGCATCATTTAACTGTTTAAAACAGTGTTTGAATATGATGAATGTATGTGTGTTAAGTGTGACTGTGGTATGGATAGTAGAGCCATGAGTGAGTTTTATGTGTCACTTGTGTGAATTACCAGTGTGTGCTGAAATAATAAGGCTAGAAGGAAGCCTTGTTACTGTAAACAATATGCAATAAAAATTTTAATATAAATATATGTTCACATTCTATTTTCATATTCTACAAGTATTCTCATAATTTTAAGTGCTTGTAGCAAACAAAAAGTTAAATATAGCTGAAAAGCCTTGTAAACAAAGAAAAGCCCTTTCAAAATGTGTAGCTATAAAGGCTAGACATGAAGTAAGTCTTTAAGCAGTGTTTCTCTCCATATGAAAACAATGAGAGAAGGCAAAACAAAGGTGATTCTTAGAAGTGTGATTGAGTTACTTCACTTATCTAGATGTTCTACAATAAATATTGCTTTTTTAGCTACTGAGTGTGCATTTCCTAGGTTTCAGGACTCTGCACCAATACCTTTACCTGTGTACTTGCACAAAAGAATAAGATTTCATAGTGTGTTCCTACAAGTTTGCAGTTCTGTAATATGATACAATTTGGCAAATATATAGGTGGAGAATTAATTTTAGATATGTTGTGATTTTAGTTTCTTTGAAGTATGTTTTAGCTTCTTGAACACATCTCCAAGAGAGAAAGAAATTTTAACTAGTGTTCCTTTGAAGTATTTTTCAAAAATTATGGGTGTAGTCTTGTGTAATTTTGAAGATTATTTGAAATCTGTTCATTGACTGAACAAGTTCTGTAAGCCATTAGCACAGAGGAATTTCTTGTTAGTTACTTAGAGTATTTGTAGCCCTAAACAGTGTTGACTATTGACAGTTCACTGTCAGGAATTATTTTCCGATGTGGTGAAAATATACTTTTATTTGTAAGAATGTGAGTAGGTCAAATATTCCACGTTGCTGTTAATGATGTCAAGGAAGGAGCTCTGGTGAAGTAGTGATACTTCTGTTGGAGTTCGACAGTTGTCACCGGGAATGCAAACCATGAAACTTGCCGCTAGATGTCCCTGCAAGTCAAAGTAGTTTTGTTTTTTTTAAATACATACTGCTTATGTTTTTGAAGTCTGAAACAATTGTTTTGTAAGCTACATCTTTTCCCCTCTGTTTTTACCTTTTTTCTTTTTCATGAAATCTTCCTGCAGATGAATACATGACCAGGTGTGTGTCTTGCTTTACAATTTGTGCACTTTCTGGTAGTAGGTAAAGCTGTGAGGAGAGAATATATTTCCCACCTGCAGCAGCTTGGAACTGAAAGTACAGAAGGTTGCAATTCCTTTTATCTTTTTCTGTTGGTTGATGTGCTCTCAGAAAATGCTGTGGGTTTTTCGTGTCTTTGATTTTGTATCTGTTATGCCTCTTACTCAAGTAAGGTGTGGGATTCAGACCTGACTCTAAATCCTGTGTTCCTAATTCTGAGCTTTGGTTTATGATTTGACCATTACATTTGGTATCTGTAGCTTATGAAAGCAAAGATCTGAGACACAGAAAAGTACTATTGCCTGGTGGTTGGTTCTTTTGTTGTGTGTGTGTGTGTGAGAGGGTTGGGTGGGTTTTGGGGTTTTTTTAAAGGTTTGTTTGTTTGTTTGTTTTTTACAGTGATCTTGATAAGCCTGTTGGTATGCTTAGAAATTCTTAGGGATGTGCTGCCTTGGGTTTTCTCTGTGTACCAGAACTTTCTATCCTCTCATCTGGTTTATTGTCCTTAGGATCACTGACCTCATACAGCTGTGGTTTAACAATTGAAAATGTCTTTATATTGAGTTTGGAAATTGCTGTTGTCCTTTGTTTCTCAACAACCAACAAAATTCAGAAATGAAAAATAGATTCTGTATTGATTAGAAGGCACTTCGGAGCTTGTGCTATTCATGTTTGAAATTGCTTGTGAATATAGGACAGTCACTTTATTCTGACTTCTTCCCCCTTATCCTCTCAGCAAATGTGGGTAAAGCAGGAGGTGAAGGTAAAGTTACTGTTCTTGCTCTGCCTACACCAGTGTTTTAACTCTGGTAGATTTTCCCCTGAACTTTTCCCATCTTAGTGACGGAGGAAGGAAAAATAGGAAAGACTTTCTTAACATTGTTGTCTTTTAGTGGAATGAACTCTGACATGCAGTGTTTATTTTCCTATAAGGAAGATAGATTTTCATCTTGCTTATAGTTCAGAGATTTATAAATCAAACCAATGAAGATAAGTCTATGAAAGATTTAGAGTGGAACGGTAAAAAACATTATATATTCAACTGTATATGTAAAGAAGGTGAGATATTTACAGTAATGGTGGAGTTTTAACATTTTTCCTGTTGGAGTTTTACTTTGTACAAAGTTCCAATTTGTAACTTTGAATTTCGCTTTGTACACTGCAACCATGGAGTTCTTAGGCATCAGTCCAGTTATGCCAAAAGCTGAAATGGCAGAGTAGTTGGTTTCAAAGCTTTGTGACTTTCTTAAAATTCAATTACAATCCTTCCTCCCCCAGATCCTTTAGAAGTGTCAGTAATGATCAGATTAATACATCTTGCTTCTAATATTGAGAAGAACTAATGAGGCATATGAGAATACTTCGTTATTTCTCAGCATCTGTCGATTTGCAGCTTTCTCACACTAATCTGATATTGCCACATTTAGCAAAACTCTTTCCGGAAAGGTCACCAGAAATCACCAGATAAACTCTGAAAATGAGAAAATTATATGTATCAATTTCATATTTCAGCTGAACTTTGGGCAAGTATCTTCCAGACTGTCCACAAAAGCTTAACTCTTCTCCAGAGGGGGTTTGATAGGAATTCAACAGTGAGAATTATCTGCTTTTCTTCCAGCTGAAATGATGGTGCATTGAGTAGTACAACTTGTTAGGATAGTGTGACAGACTGTGACTGTGTTAGTAGTAAAAGCACTATGTGTCTGATGTCTGTGGCCTCTACTTGAACTCTGATTAACAAGGCATAATTAGGGCATTGCTAGCTTCATAGTTAAATTCTCAGTGTACAGTGTAAGTAAAAATACCATTCTGTGTAATCTGTCAGATAGAAATGCTTGTCCTTATTTTGTGTTGACTCAAATAATCTCTCCATGTTTAAGTTTATTCAGTGACCCTGGAAGGGACTATTACTTTTCAGGGCAGGCAGAATGAGCAGGGAAGAGCTGCCTTGTCAGTAGAGGTTTCTAACCTGGGTTACAGCAGAGCCAGGATTCTGATATACTGAAAGCAAAAGCAGGATATGGACTCTTTGAACTGTGAATGTACTTGATTGCTAATTACATGTCCTTGTATTTGTTCAGGTGACTTGGTCTTCTGGATGTCAGCAGAAGAAGTGGATGGCATTGTAAATTAGTTATAAGTTAATTTTTATTTTGCCCTCTCCATACTCATCGTGAACAGTCATCATAAAATGGATGCTTTGGACAGTCACCTTCCTCCCATGGCTGGAAATAGTGATACTCCTAATTCACAAGAATTACAAAAAATTCTGATTGATGAGAGAATGCGATGTGAACATCATAAAGTAAATTATCAAACTATGAAGGCAGAAAATCTAAGGTATGTTAACTTAAACAGGTTTCTTTATTTGAGCTGTTAAAAGGTGACAGCTGAATATTAGGTGAAAGGGATTTAAGTATGTGCATGTTAGCTCTTTCTGTATTTAAAGACAGATTTGAGCATTGTTCATATCAGAAAATAACTAATCTGCAATGCCTTAAGGTATTTTGAATTTTCTAAAATACTTTTTATGCTTGTAAATATGGAATAACTTTTCAATATATTACAGGAAGAAGACACTAACTTAGTTCTAACTTGATATTTATATGTTAGCTTCTGCACATGATTTTTTTGAGCTTTAAGATGTAATTTTAGAGTGTAAATATAAAATACATATGTATTTTATTTTGCAGATTACAAGAGGAATATACAAAATCACAGGAAGAACTGAAGCAGTTGTTAGTTGAAAAGCAGACTGTACATGACAAATTTCAGCTTCTTCTTGCTGAATATCAAGAGGAGTTGTTGAGTAAAACACAAGAACTGGAAAAACTGAAGATGCAGGTGAAATATTTTACTGGAAGGACTTAATATGAGTTTTAATTCTGTAATAGGGCCATGCATATATTTCTGTTTATGTAGCACATATATACCTAGCTTGAATATACTTCAGGTGTCTTGAAATTCACCTAACCTGAGTAATGTTTCTTCTTTGGAGTGACTATGGCATGACATTATTGTTTTATTGTTTAACTGAATCTTTCAAATGCGGTTGTTATGTGCTATGCTAATAGTAAGACCTGCAGTCTCTGTCTATGTGTGCTCTCCTGTTATGGGGAGAATCATCTGCCCTGGAGGGTACCTTAGATGTCTAAACCTGTTAGGATAAGTGACTGGAAAAATAGGTATTTGTTTCTCTTCATGATGACAGCTTTCTTCACCTTAAAAAAAAAAAACAAAACAAAACAAACCACAAAAAGCAAAAAACAAAAACAACTCAAATACAAAAATAAACACCCCCCCACAACGTATAAGATAATTTGAATGGCACTTTCAATATCTGCTTGTTTCCTTAAGCTAATGCAGGACATAAATATACAAATATAGCATCTAACAAAGGGTCTCAGGCTTTGAGTGGAGGAGATGTGCTTCGGTGCCATAACTAGGATTAGTTTTCAGAGACTCCAGAGTCCAGAAAAGTAGGAAGAAGGAAGGAAGAAAAGTAGAATAAATTAGAATAAATCACAGGTTGTGGATGACATTTCTCAGACTTTTACTGGATAGACAGTTTGCTGTATCAACCATACCCAAGAAAACTTAAAATATCACGTAGCATGGAGCCTTAAGCAGGGAATCTTTCCTGATCTTAGTTTAATTTCAAACTAGTACCCGTGTGTCTATTGGCGAACATCTCTAATGTGTTTTACAAAGAATTGGTTTGATACTGCTCATTTTAGGTCTTTGAGGTTGGTTCATTTACTGTGAACCAGTTGCTAATTCTTTATCTCTTATGGGAGACCACTTTCCTTCCCCTTCCTCCCCCACAGAGGAGCTAAATCTCTTGGCAATTCAGATTGACATTTGTATTGCTTCTGCCAGTAAATACTGACATTTTAAATGCTTCTGCTATCTTTCCACAATATTTTTAGTTCACTAATGTGGGGGTTTTTTTGCTTCTGTAACTACTATTGAAAATTCTTTAGAAAAGCATGGAGCCTTAAGCAGAATTCCTAAAATCATATTTGAAATACTTTATTGCTGGCTATTTGTCCTATCACAGTGTAAATAAATAAATAAATAAGACTAGTTGTTTATGATACTTTTCTGTCTTAAGGTGCTAACTCCTCAAAAATTAGAACTGTTAAAAGCGCAAATACAGCAGGATTTGGAATCTCCTATGACAGAACGTTATCGGAAGCTAGAAAATGTAAGTAGTAAGTATTAAAATTGTGTTGCATTTGAAGTAGTGATCACCAGGTTATAGTTGTTCATAAAACCTTAGTAAATTAAAACTGAAATGGGGAGCAAAGTATGGTGTTGTCTCTCTGGTACTATACGGTACTGTTGCCCCAGGCAGTGAAGATTGAAACCCTGGAAGAGGGAGCAGGAAGAATTCAGTTCATCAAGTATAACTTGTGAAATTAAAGGAACATTGCATCAACATTTGAAGGAAATAAATCTGAAAACTTCTATTGGTTTTTTTTTTAATTTGTTTGGGGTTTTTTTTGTCTAACTTAGGAAGTGGAAAAATACAGAACAGAATATAACAAACTTCGTTATGAACATACTTTTCTGAAATCAGAATTTGAACATCAAAAGGAAGAACATGAACGTATTTTAGAAGAGAAGAAAATACAATATGATGCTGAGGTACATACATTTTAAGCTACTGTAAAATTCAATCTGATGACAAAGCTGCTTGAACATTGTGAAAACGCTGGTATTTGATGGGATATCGGTTTGTCACCATTTCATATTGTCGCGTTTGTTTCCGTTATCTTAATTCTCAAAATACTTTCATGTCTTAGCCTAAAGCTGTCTCTGTAGGTTTGTTCAGTGATGTGTTGCAATATCATTTGCGCTATCATAAATAAGAATAGACTTGCCTTCTGATAAATGACAGGCAGTAGCTTAGCTTAATTGTTTTCTTAATTGCATTTGTGGTGAAATTTGAGACATTAGGCTAATCTGAAATTAATACATTATCTAAGCAACTGATGTAAGTTTAGATTTTAAATTACTTCTGTGACAGCTAATCCAAGAAGGGAGCAGAAGATATTGTTGATACCAGAAAAGGGTTGCATTTTGTAGCTAAGTTGGATCGTGAAAGTGGTGGTCAAAAGGGTACTGAAAACTTTGGTAGCTTTTCCAGTTGTATTAACTCTTCAATAAACCATTCATGAATTTTCTGTTTCAGAATTGGACTTTCAGAAGTGTAGCTAAATAAATTGCTAGCTTATTTATGTTTTAAATATATGCAGCAGTGTAAACGAGTGTTGCATATGTCATTTGCATATTCATTTAAGTATTTGTCTGGGAGCATATATCTGAAGGTGTCAAATCTGAATGTATTAGTCCAAACATGAGACACAAATCAAAGCAATCATCACTTTCAAAATCAATCCAAATTTGCAAATGCAGTGCATTAAAAACAGAACAGTTGTCCTTCCTGGAGCTAAACCCACATGCTGCTTTACAACCTGCCTCTCTTGTGGGCTTGTTGTTTGTGCTAGTCCTGCAGCTAATTAGCACACTTACAGAGAATGAAACTACCTTGGGCCCTGGGCGCAATGTGATCTAGTTTCTCTCTCTTAGAGCTTTCCATGCCATTTAGCACAAGGAGGGTACAAAAACATCTTAATTCTTAAATGATGGCTTGGGTGTGTCATGCAGTAAGTGTTTGAATCTCTTCTTAAAACGGATTTGAAGGGCTTTTGCTGCAGAAATTGGCTTTGCTGCATAGAGATCACTCGTGCAACTTCTGAAAGCACTGCTGCAGATCAGAGTTTGGACTAGTCTCCAAATATCAAGAGAACATACCTTCCTTTCTCACTCCTTTGCCCCTAGTATTACATTCAATCCGCATAACTAATTTTGAAATGCTAGAATCTTTTTCTGTTAGCAAAATAGGTACAAACTCACCTCAAGACTGTAACTACCTTGTAAGAAAAAGATGGGAGTGTGTTTTTGCTTTATTTTCTATCTGGCAGGGCCAAATCATGTTGGCTGTCTTGAGTTGCGAGCAGATTTGAGTACTTTTGTGGTTCTAGAATTGTAGAATCATAATATAGGTTAGAAAAAACCTCCTTCTAATCCAACATCCTGCTTAAAATATTGAAGTGTAGTGAGATCGGGTTGCTCAGGGTCATGCCTATTTGAGTCTTGAACATCTGTGAGGATGGAGATTCCACAACATTCCTGGACAAACTATTGCAGTATTTATTGTCTTCATGGTAACCTTTTTTGATAATATCTAATTGGAATTTCACATGTTCCAGCCTGTGTCCGTTGCCTCTTTTCCCATCACCATGCATCTCCAAAAGGAGATCCATCTTCTCTGTTTCCTTTGATTGTGTATACAGAGGAATAAAATCTCCCCTGAGCCTTCTCTTCTCCAAGCTGAAGAGATGTAGTTCTCTCAGCCTGTCCTTGTATGTCATGTTCTCTGAGACTCTGACCGTATTGGCAGCCATCCACTGTACTTGATCCAGTCTGTCATTATTCTTCATGTACTGGACACAGACTCCAGATGCAGTTTTACAAGTACTGCTAAGCGACAAAGGATCACTTTTCTGCATCTGCTAGCTATGCTTCTGCCAATCTGCCAGGATGAAGTTGATGATCTTTGCTGCAAGGGTACTCTGCTGACTAGTGTTCAACTTGTCTATTAGGATCCACAGATCCTTTTCCTAGGCAGGTGCCCCCAGCCTGTACTGTTGCATTGGGTTACTCCATCCCAGGTTTGTTGTTGAAGATGTTCCAGTCAGCCCATTCCTTCAGCCTGCCTTGATCTCTCTGAATAACAGTTCTGCTGTCCAGCACATTGACCATTTCCCCCTGGTTTGGTATCACCCACAAGCTTGCTGAAAGTTTATTCCATCCCATCATCCAGTTCACTAATGAGGACATCAACCAATATGGGAGCCTGTACTGATCTCAGAAAGATTCCACTCATTGCTGACATTCAGCTGGGCTTTACAACACTGATCATCACTCTTTGAGCCTGACAGTCCAGCCAGTTTCCACCCACCTTTCCAGCCTGTATCTTGCCAATTTAGTGAGAGAGAAGATTATGGGATACTGCATCAAAGGCCTTGTTAAAATCAAAGTATACAAGATCTACTGCCCTCTACTTGTCTACAGTGCCAGTCACCTCTTTCTAGAAAGCAGAGAAGTAGGTCAGGCATGGTTTGCCCTTGGTAAACACTGCTTTCCATCACCTCATCTTTCATGTGCTTAGAAATGGCTTTTAAGAGGATTTGCTTTATCACGTTCACAGAGCCTGATGTGAAGCTGACTGTCCTGTAGTTATCTGGATCCTTCTTCTTGACCTTTTCGCTCTGGGTGTGCTGTCTGTCTCTCTTCCAGTCGTCAGGAACCTTCTCTGATTGCAATGACTTTTCAAAGATTGATAGAGAATAGCCTTGAGATAATAGCAGTGAGCTCCTTCAAAATGCTTGGATCCATTCCAAGGACGTATGTGTGTCCAGTGGATTAAATGATCCCTAACATTTTCTTTCTCTACTCTGAGTACTGCTTTACTCCCACAGACTGCTAGGGGACTCGGAGACATTTGGGACCCAAGGACAAGCTTTACCAGTGAAAACTGAAGAGAAAAAAAGGGATGGAGTAATGACTCTGACTGTTCTACTCTAAGAAAGAAAATAAATGTGAATGTAATTTCTTAATATTTTCAGTGTACGCTGCTGGACTTTCCTGAATTGTCTACTGCTGTATTTGTTGCTGCCTGGCACCTAACCATTATAAAAGCTTTTCTTTTTCTGATTAACAACTATCAGATTGCAAGACTGGATAAAGATAAAGAAGAACTCCATAATCAGCTGCTTAGCGTTGATCCCACGAGGCACAGTAAGCGTGTGGAGGTCCTCTCTAGAGAAAAGGCACAACTGAATCAAAAATTAAAAGGCTTAGAAGCAGAAGTAGCAGAACTAAGAGCAGAAAGACAGAATTGTGGCATGCAAGCAGAAAATGTTCGAAGAATACAAGTACGACAGTTAGCTGAGTTGCAGGCTATGACAAGGTCTCTAGAGGTAAGAACCTATTTTTTATTCTTTTTACTTACTTACTTACTTGAATTTTGCCTCCTTGTAGAGTGCAGCAAACATAACTCTTGGCCTGATAGAATTGTCGCTGGAGTCATTGATGATTTTGCTGTTGGCTCCACAACTTGGATTTGTACATTTCAGATTTAAAACCAAATTGTAAGTGCATTGGGAGTCATGTATGGCCAATGTAACTTTGGAAAGGAGGAGAGCTCAACTGAGGAATTCTGCTGAATGTCTCCTTTCTAAACATACGAGTGATATCCATGTTTGCAGTCAGTAAGGTGCTTGTGTCAGCACTGGTCACTTGACTGGAGTTAGAAACTGGTGACAAGATGTTAATAATGTGCTACAGTAAACTTTTTATTCTTTTCAAAAGTTTCATATTATGCTCCCCTATTCCTTTATTCTTTTCCTTGTGTGTCTTTTCTTTCTTGCTTCCTTTTGTCTCTCCTTGCTTCAACACGTTACTGCAATTGTTAAGTTCTTGGCTGTTGTACTCCCTTAAAGAGCCTTTGGTATATCTGGCCTGTTGTGTGTTTCCCAGGGTCCCACTGTATTCCTCACCTGTGGTCTTCAGTCCTCCTGTCAGCTCTTGTTTTCTGTTCAGGTAGTGAGTCTTTCTATGTAGATTTCTTGCAAAGTTGTAGCATACAGATAAACAGTTCATTCTATTTTTTACTGTTATCGGTGCTGTATACTTTTGTTACAAAATGCTCTGATTGCAATTTAAAAAGAAAAGTGCTGTTATATTCTTAATTTGGAACGCTTAAAAAAATCCTGCTGGAAACAGGTTAGTTGGAAAATAAGGAAGGCAAAATCATATGTTAGATTACCTTTTTGATACTGAGTAAAGCTCAGGGTCTTGAGTCTATAATACTCACGGTAGTTGCCTTTTATTTCCTTTCCATGATGTTAGTTCTTCATTTAGTATAACTGCATATGACATCTTTTGGAGCACCACTTATAGTCATACTGGTGTTTTCAGCCCAGTAATTTAATGGTAGGAGCACTTGCTACCTCCTAACCAAGTCAGATTACCTCTGCCTCTTGTGAAGTAGGACTGAAAATGTGTGTGATTCTGTGCAGGCAGTGTTAGTAAAAACAGTTGTGACTTTTGAATAAAATTCAAGATTGTTGTTAAATTGGAATATATTGTTGAGCAAAGATAAATATTTATATATTATGTTATTATACAATATAAAGGGTCAGTAATATCTGAAAGCCCAGATCAATTGAACCTGTCAGGTGAATAGCGAGACAGTCCTGCTCCAAAAAATCTTAAAAATTTTCTCCTTTATTCAAGGCAGAAAAGAAGTCTGCTGAACTACAGATTGAACGAATTGAGAAAGAACTGCAGATGAGTAATGATCAAAACATTCTCTTAACCAATAAACTTCACAAATCTGAACAAGAAGTCAATTCCTTAGCTGCTATAGTAAGTGCTTTTATGGTATCTGAAATATGTTTTTCATATCCTGTTATGTTTAAATTTTTCTGCTTATATTTGACACTAAGAATGAAGTAACAATGTCTTTTGCTGTGACTTAAAAGAAGTTTGGATTTTTTTTTTCCCCGAGTTTCAGTTGGAAGATATAGAATATATGACTTTACAGGAAAAACACAATCCCTAAAAGTATCTCTAAAGATTGACGTTATGCTCTTTTTATTTCATTTCCTAGATCTTTTTTCTAAATAGAACAAGTTTTGAAGAGGTGTCTTTATATTCCTGTTTTTAGTGCTCATTAGAGTAGCCAGCCTTACCTGATGGAAATAAGCGTTACTTTTTCATAAGGTGTGTAAAGTGCAATAGAGCTTTAAAATTATCCCCCCACC